TGCTCAAAACACTTCGGTTATCTATTTCACTCTGAGAGAAAGACAGCTTCCTTATAAATGGCCTACAAACTCTAGATAATCTGGCCCCCTGCCTCTCGGACCCAATGTCCTACCACTCTCCCCCTGTGCCCTTTGCTCTAGCCACACTGGCCTCCTTGCTGATCCTTGAAAAGGCTGCTTCAGGGCCCTTTGTACTTATTATTCCCTTTGCCTAAAACCTTCTTCCCCAGATACCCACATGACTCATTACTTCATTCAGTCTTCGTTCAAACACCAACTTTTAATAGGCTGCCCAACCTCCCTATTTAAAACTGTAACCTCTATTTATCAAACCTTGCACTCCTACCCGCTCCCTCTCTGTTTTAGCTTTTCTATAGAACATAATCTATCTGGCAAAACTGTATATTTATGTATTTGTTCCCTGCCCCACCTCCCACTCCCCATAAGATGTAAGCTGCATGAGGTAAGGGACTTTGCCTCTCCTGTTAAGTGACAAGCACTCAATAAACATTTATTGAATAAATGAATGAAAGACCACCAAACTGTCTATCCAAAAGCTTTTCCAATCCTCACATATTTCTTGATTTTCTCTTTGCTAAATGGTATTAATGATCATGAACAGGCTTGCTTATTCCTTGTTCCTGTGAAATGGAAAAGCACACTTTCTTCCCTGGAGGATTCATCTCTCAGAACTTCACTATGAGCTATACAGTGTCTATGATAAATAAGGGCTAATGGTTATTGAGTATTTACTAGGTGGCAGTTGCTACGCTGAACACTTTACCTATATTAGCTCATTCCATCCTCACCCAAATCCTAGGTACTATTATGTGATCAATTTTACAGATTAAGTGGCTTGTGCAAGGTCATACAGCTAGGATGCAGGACCACTTATCTGTACAGTGGACAAAATGAGCATTCTCATTTGGATGTCATCTTAGAAGAAACAGGCTTAAAAAAAGAAGATCATTTCCTTTCTGAAAAAGTTTTCCTCTTCCAATGTTTCTAAACTTAAGTCAATAGACTTTCTATTTTCTCAGGTGTAAAATGCCTTCTATTTCATCTTTCATCTTACCTTCCTCCACATAGGATTTCAGGCAACAGCAACATTTCTGAGTTCAGTGTAGCCCTTGATTCATCATGTGAAGAGCAACAGACTCATTTTTTATTTATGTATCTCTAGCATGACATTACTCCTTTGCCTCAAAAACACACAATGGCTCCTTAAAGTCAAATCAAGCCGAAAGTTCCTAATCTGGCTCCATTCTTCTGGACGTTTTTCCATTCCTTCTGAACACTTAAATTTTACTCTAATCAGGCTTACTGATTCCTCTTTACAGTATATGTTTAATTTCATGACTAAAATTTTTCCTTCCCTTCCAAATATCGTCCATCCACCAACACCCAGTTCAAGTGCCCCTTCCTCAAATAAAGATTTCCTCCAGGTTTCTACCTCTCCTCTTCTGAATTTTAACAGCCTTAGTGGAAAATACATTTCATAATTGATAGTATCTTCCATTTGCTTGGACATGTCCCCTTTATTACTTTTGGCTTTCCCGGTAAGCTGAAAGCTTTCAGAGGGAAGGAGCTATACCTTCTACTTCTTTTTATACCTCTCAACAATACTGAGTATACAGAAGATGCTCAATAAAGTCTTGTTGATTACTGCCTTTCAAGTAGTCAAAGAAATCATGTTTAGTTCCTGTGTTCTCTGCTTTTGCTCAACAACCAGTCTCCAGGTGAAGCTGCTTCACTTACCAACCACCACTCCATTTTTTGGGTTAGTCTTTCTGCTCTCATTTCATATTTAAAAATAGAATTCTTAAACATCTATCCCTCAAAACTCCCAAGTTCTCTAACGCCTGGTGGACTCCACCCCTCACCTGGTCTTCTCTTCTCTTTGGTCATGAGTTGCTGGACCTTCCTCTGCTCTTCTTGTTCTTCTATTTTAGCTTCTTTGTGAATCTGTTCAATAGTTTTAGGCCCTTGATCTGCTCTTCGAGATACCCAATTACACTATAAAAGGAGAAAATGAAGTTATCAGCCAGATAACTAAAAATAAAAAGGAAAATAAAAATAAAAAGGAAATTTTTGAGAATTGTTTTATACTTTGCTGGAAAAGTATAAAATACATATAAAATCTGGTACTATGGCAGTTTTTCATTACAGCCAAATAATTAAATTTTTCTCAATCAACCCTGAGCTATTCTATACTGAGCATTCCAATGGCTGATAGATAAAGACAGAGTGAAAGACTGGCCCAACTATCTATCTATCTCTCTATCTTCCTTCCTACCTACCTACCTATCTATGCATTTTATCATTTTGTATTTTTGAAAGGAGCGAGAAGAGGAATCAACACAGATCAGGATTCTTTGGCCTTGACTTAGTCTGGTATGTTGCCACTAAGTTTATAGCACACTCCATTGGGGCTCTAAATCGAGGATGACTAGCATTTTTCTTCCTCCCGTATCAAGGTTCTGGTGTCTACACAAAATGCCGCACCGCTCTGAGCTCCGGTTATCCTCTCCACTAAGGACGAAACAAGCTGTCTCCTTATAGTTACACTTCTCCCTTTACTTCCCTTCCCAGCTATAGTCTCAACATCTGATACCAATACGAGTGACTGAAGGAACAGGCGGAGAAGTTTTTAACATTTATATTAGCTTGAGGCAAGAATGGCAAAAAGGTTGAAATCGGCACTCAAATTCTGATCAACTGGTAGTGGCTTGGTTAATAAGAAGGATCCTGAGGTCACATCTCGGCTTAGGAAGATAAAGAATCGCCATCAATACCATCTGGTCTGGGTGCAGGGCAGGGAAGAGGCGGGACCTATATTCACTTTCTCTAGCTTAGCGTCAGCTGCAGGATATTCCCTGTAGGAGTTAATATAGGAAAAGGGAAAAGAGGTGGTAGTGGTAAAAACTACACCTGGTATGAGAAATGAGAAAAAAAAAAAAAAGCAGCAGAACAAGAGGGTATACGGTAAGAAAGAGAGGAAAACATCAACATCTCTTCTGAGCTGGGCACAATACATAATTACCTCAGTGAATCTTCGTAACACATCTGCAAAGTAGGCAACATCACCATTTCAGAGGCTAAAATGTAAGGCTTAGGGAAGTTAAATATATTCATTTTGAAGATGAGCCTTCCTGATTATTTAGCATGCTAAGACTAAATTTAAATGACCACAGCTTGAATTCAGAATGGCTGATTTCAAAACTGCAATGTGGTTTGAAAATCAGAATAAAGAAAAGAAACAAGTAACAGACAGGTAGGTGTATATGCCCTTTGTCCTTTCACATAACTCCCTCACGAAAGTTTGTCGATTCAAGTTCTGAGAGTCAGGCAGCAAAAGCATTAAATTATTATACATGTAAATCTTAGGACATCCTCCCCAAGCCAACTCCTGAAAAGAGACGGTAGTGGTAGGCTTATTTTTCTACTTACCAGCCTTAGGTCTATCACGTCCTGAAGCATGAATCGAATCCTAGATGAGGTTTTTCTTTCTTTCACAATTTTCTCCATCTGATTAAAATACTGGTCCATACGTGGCTGCAGGATACAAAATCATTAGTATTCCTGGCTGAGGAATTCGAACGTAGTTTTACCATGTAGAATTTTAAACGGCCTATGAACACAACTTATAGCCAAAAGGCCATGTGGTAGAATGTTTAATTGAACATGACACCCAAAATAAAGGCTACATATTCCAGGCAGCTGGTCACAGTCACAGGCCAACAAAATATAAATGAAAATGTCATACTGCAGCTCCTTGGAACCTTAAGAGAGGGGTGGCTGTGTCCTTTGCCCCTTTCCAACCTTCTTGGCTATCAGATCAGTAAGGACAAGGGCTACACTTTAGCGATGACAAAATGTTAAGCTGGAGGAATTGAAATTTTTTATCATCGCTTAGCCACCAGGCCAGCCTCAGACTTCTTACCCCTGAACTTCATTTACATGGGTGAGAAATTAACCTCAGTCTTGTATAACACACTGATATTTGGGGTTTTCTGTCATAGCCAAACATAATCCTAGCTGATTCTGATGTTATGAAACATTTCTAACATTATTTCTTTGATGCATTTCTAATTTCCCTACCCGTTATTTGGAAAGTACCATGCTGTATTTGAATTATAATACTTTTAATGATTTCTTATATTATGGTTAGATAGCTCTGTCGCTAATGCTCTATTTAATTAGAACATAAACTTGAGAAAGCTATGGTGTCTTCTTTGTTTCTGTCTTACCCTCAGTCCTGGCCCTTAGTAGCTTTTCTCTCCAAAATTTCTGTCCACAATTTGCTATACATACACATATAAATGACCTGTGAAACAGTCATGCAGAAAAAGGACAAGTGACAAATAATCTCAATTCATGAATTGGCTTTTATATAATTTGGGACCCTCTTCACTTCTGACTTTAATGAAAATGTTGGCCCAACAATGACATGATGGCCCAACAATGACAATGAGAAGGGCAAAAGAAGAAAAACAAGCAGCCTAGACCGCTGGGGTGAGATGGACACTTGTGTTGACAGTCTATTTCTTCCGCAATTGACAAAGAGTCCCTGCCGGAGGTTTCTGAGATTTGGGGTTTTTACCTTTGCTTTCTCAAAGTCTAGGTCTTTGCCAATTGTGGTGAGTAGGCGACACAGGCACTCGAGGGATTCTTCATCATGGTTCTTTAGCAGCTTCACCACACAGTCATGCATGATGGCTTCAGTCAGCATTTTGAGTTTAAAGAGTTCTCCAATGAACTTGATGTTACCAATGGATCTCCGCCGGGCTTTATCCTTAGCTTCTTCCAGCTCATCATGAAGCCTTGTCCTCTCCTCCGGCTATTGTGTAAGGAAGAATAACAGAATCTTGATGATGAAAATGGTACTGCATAATAGATGCTAAAAACATATGCTTGACTGGTGCTGCTTGTGTGCTTGTTCAGGGCGGACCTGGTACCTCTTTTGTGAAGCGGCAGCTGAGGAGACTCCAGTGCTTACCATGGCTGATGAAAAGCCCAAGGAAAGAATCAAGATGGAGAACAATGATTGTATTAATTTGAAGGTGGCAGGGCAGGATGGCTCCGTGGTGCAGTTTAATATTAAGAGGCATGCACCATTTAGTAAACTAATGAAAGCCTACTGTGGACAGGGTTTGTCAGTGAGGCAGATCAGGTCCCAATTTGATGGGCAGCCAATCAATGAAACAGACACACCTGCACAGCTGGAAGTAGAGGATGAAGATGCAATTGATGTGTTCCAACAGCAGACAGGAGGTGTCTACTAAAGAGGAAACCTGCTACTTTACTCCAGAATTCTGTTCCTCCAGACCAAGAGGACGTTCTCAATTTGAAAACCGCAATTTGGTTCCACCACATCCTGAGTATTACAGTATAGTTTCTCTATTCTTTCATTTTCCCCTTCCCCATTCCTTTATCGTACATAAAGTAACTGGTGTATGTACACAAGCATATTGCTTTTTTTTTTTTTAAACTAAATGGCCAATGGTATGTTTTGATCGACATCAAATGGAGATGGGATGGGGAAAAATACTGGTTCTGTGAAAATACCCCCTTTTCTCTATTTAGTAGCATGCTCATTCGGCTCTTATCTTTATATTCCAGTAAGTTATTTTGCTCTCACTATTTAACAACAACAACAACAAAAAAAAAACAGCATAAAAACTCTTGCATACCTTGTTCAATTGGAGAATTTTAATGTTTTTCATGTATCATTGTAAAACCAAGGACAATTTTATAACGTTTTTGTACGTAGCTGTTACATGTAAGGCAACCTGTCTTTAAGTAGGGATAAATTACTCTAAAATAAATGAATCCTAGATAGTTTTCCCTTCAAGTCAAGCGTCTTGTTGTTTAAATAAACTTGTTTTAAAAAAAAAAATACACTTGGATTCATGGTCCTCACCCTTTCTAGGGGTCAGGGATACCCTTTGATATTTTGACAGTAACTACAGACCTACTCAGAAAACAAAACTATACCCGTAAGTGTGCATCCATTTCAGGAGATTTCTGGAATTTAGTGACCCTTCTGAAGTCTAGGTTCTGAATCCCTACCTTAGAAGGTTGAGCTGCCCTTACATGTGGCACTAAAAGGAATAAAGCATTCCTCTAAACACCAATACAGTACATTTCCACGTGAAGAAAAGGCCACAAGCACCTAATAAAGTAGTAGGAAGATATTGTAGCCAGCTTCCTGAAAATTCTATTTGATAATACTCGAAGTGCACAAGCACTGTCTTTCCGTGAAAATACTTACAGCACTGGCAGCCTCCAGTTCTTTCTGCTTCTTCTCAAAGACATCATCATCGGCTTTATCTTTTTCAAACTCCTTCTGGCAACGGTTCAGTAGTAGCTTCCGGAAATTCACTGTGTTACCAGGCTTGTCCGCCATGGGTACTTTCAGCTGCATCCAGATGGGAAAATGCAAAAGCGGCAAAATTACTGAAAGAAATTTAATGATTTTCTCAAAATATCTATTTTCTTTATTGTGCAAAATAACGCTGACCGCACCACAGGTAAGCATTCTACAAGATATATACAATTTAGCTTAAGGCATTTCATGTTTCAATGGTTAAGATGTTGTAAGTTTTATACAGAAAAGATACACATTCCTCTCATATAAATGTACTGTATCCTCTGACTGGTTGTGCCTCTAGCTGACTGAAATCCTTGTAATATTACTATGTCATGATTCTGCACTAGCCTCTAGACCTTTTTAACTCTGAAGGGTTATTACTTTTGTTTTTCCTCCTACTACTGTAGGTACTTTGGTTTAAAGGGACAAATAAAAACGAAATAAAGCAGGGGAGAATTTCATGGCCATAGGAAAACTGTTGGAGGTGAGATCCTTATTCTAGAAAAAAGCAGAAGTGCAGGGACACATTTGAGGATTTTTGAGATATCTATTCCTAAGGGGAATGTCACAACACTGTAATACTAGGATTTACTTTGACTATCAATATAGTATGTTTATTATTATTTTTTATAAATTTATTTACTTTATTTATTTTTGGCTGCATTGGGTCTTCGTTGCTGCGTGCAGGCTTTCTCTAGTTGCGGCGAGCGGGGGCTACTCTTCGTTGCGGTGCGCAGGCTTCTCATTGCAGTGGCTTCTCTTGTTACGGAGCTCGGGCTCTAGGCACACGGGCTACAGTAGTTGTGGCTTGCAGGCTCAGCAGCTGTGGCTCGAGGGCTCTAGGGCGCAGGCTCAATAGTTGTGGTGCACGGGCTTAGTTGCTCTGCGCCATGTGGGATCTTCCCGGACCTGGGCTTGAACCCGTGTGCCCTGCATTGGCAGGCAGATCTTAACCATTGAGCCACTAGGGAAGTCCCTGTTTATTATTTCTTATGTGTCAAAAGAAATTACTAATTCGCTAAAAGTTCAGTCTAATAAATGCCCACCTTAGAAACATTCTTTTGATATACAGAAAGACTCAGGGTGGAGGGGAGGCGCCTCTTGGAGGCAAGATGTTTACAAGATTTCCATTCAAATCCAATGACAATTGCTTTCTAGTAACTGCAGTAGCTCACACCTTCAAGGTTACTTGTAACCAAACACAGAGACATTCTTATTTAGAATATAAAGCAAGTGGACCGGTACAGTGATTGACTAAAATATTCTATTTTACAGACAAAATCAAAATCCCTTGAGTACCATTTTGAACAGTCATTGCCTCACATGGCAAAATGGTTTTTCTAGAATCACAGTGGCTCCCAAAGTTCTGAAATGCATGGTCTTCACCCTAGATTTAGTGGGAGAAATTGGTAAAAAATGGGACGTGTTGTATTCATACTCACAAAAGAGTTATCAACCAGAATGGACTTGGACAACTACTGATCAAGGCTGAATGGCTAGAAACTTGAGGACTGAGGACTACGATACTATAGTACAATATATCTGTGCCAGAACTGATGGCACACTCTCCAACATATTCCCAATGGATATGAAAGACCATTCAACAAGCCCAGTTCTTACCAACCAAGGGTCAAGTGTTTCATTATACTTTCTTTTCAGCAAGAAACTTTAACTTAGAAAGAGGGGAAGATGATCAAATACTTTTTAGACAACCATAGAAAAGCATGTCCCTATCTCCAAATTCAGGCCATTCAAATGCAAGTGACTACAAGTCACTTCAAAGTCAGGCCTATTCTATGATCACACAAGAGTAGGTGTTAATCAGCCTTAAAGAAAAGAAATGCTACACAAAAGCAAAGGTTTTCTTCAAAGTAAAAGCCCAAAGTAGACTCTTACTATATACAACCCAGAATATACAACAACAATGCACTACAAGAAGCATATCTACAAGCGAGGTTATATATAACAGAGCACCAACATGACGTAAGGTTCCAGAATAGACTGAAGGTTCTAAAAATCAGCAGTTATATCCAATTTGCTACTGTATAGGAACACAAGTAAATCAGTCAAAAGATCCTATCCAACTTCCTGGCATATTCACCACCATTATCTATATTAACACTAAGAACGTAATAGAGTGATATAATAAAAATCACCTGGGCCATAATGAGATGTTTCCTGCATTATGGATTTACTGTGTAGAAAATGAGAAGAATGTGGATAATATGAAAATTCAAGCCACTGTCTTATGGTGAGAGGGACCAGAATTAAAATGAGTCAGAAAGGTTAAATAAATACAACTTGTGATATGTTGGTTTATAGGAACAAATAGAAATGGCATAAGGCAAAGGAGAATTTCCCTAC